AGGTGGGGAGGGGCTGGGTATATTCACACCTAATGGGTGCGATGTGCACCATCTGGGGGGTAGACACACTTGAAGCTCTGACTCAGGCAGGGCAAAGGCAATGTATGTAATCTAAACATTTATACCCCCATATTATGCTGAAATTAAAAAAAAAGTTTTTGAATTATCAAGTTTACATAAAAGGCAAAATAAGAATGAAGTTTAAAGGAATAAAAAAATGGCACATTTTAGTACTTCATTTTTAGTGGGAAACAGTTCTTCACTGAAGATATATATAAAGAACTATAATTCTCTTATCCAATGATCTGGGACTGATTGATAAAGATGTAATCTTGATGAGTCAAACCCTTTAAAGCATCATAAATCTGATTATAGCATTAGAGAGACTGAGTGGTCAGAAAGTAGTAGTAAAGACTATTTCCTACCCAAAAAAGTATAAATACTAGGTGGCAAAATGAGCAGATTGAGATTAAGTTGAAAGATTTAAAGTGCCCATTTCTCAAAAAAAGAGAGAGAACCACTCCCCCGGCTCTGAGGGACTGGCCTTAAAATCGACAAAGCCATCACAGTGGAGTATAGATTATGCCTTAGGCCACAGTGGTTTATGGCTTTAATTAAGATTTTATGTATGGGTTTTATGTTCACTGCTGATGGCAGGGTGCTTCTGAAATGCTCCATGCTCTCAAATTATTTAATCCAGCCTTTGAAGGATTATTTTGGGTAATGAATAGGGTCAATGTGTGAAAATAGGTAAAGAAGCGGTGGCAATTACTAATTTAAAACTCTGTATTCTGTCTTTACACAGGTGTTCCGTGGAAATGTTGATAACAACACACCGTATGCTAACTCTTTCACACCTCCCATAAAAGCTCAGTACGTAAGACTCTATCCCCAGGTTTGTCGAAGGCACTGCACTTTGCGAATGGAACTTCTGGGCTGTGAACTGTCAGGTGAGTCTCATATTAATTACTTCTGTTATCTCTTTTAAAAAAAAACATATTTGTATGTAGCCTGCTACTAATCTGCAAATGCAACACTCATAGACATTTATTTCTTCTCCAAAATGTCTACAGCATGGTTCCTTGAGAACCAGTGTGTGTTTATGTGTGGGATAAACAAGTTCTAAAACATGTTACTGGGTAAAATTAATACAAAAATAGTAATAGATTTTGTTGAGTGGTCAAAGAAAGTGCAAGGATTTCTCAGAGGAAGCTTCAGTCAATTTTAAATGTGTCTCATTGTTTTTGGTAGGAACTGTGATTTATATTTTGTGACAGAGGTTCAGTAAAAACTGGAATCTGCCTGACCTCATAAATTGCAGTAAAGTTACGCTATAAAGCACAGAAAAGTAAGCTTTATCTTTGTCCATCTACCATAAGAATTTTTTTTTTTAGGTTTTATGAAACATGTAAATTTATCATTACTCCCAAGGGGACACTACTTCAATACCAAGATTGCTACTATAAATTCATTCTTGGATCATTCTTAGCTAGCAATCTGTTTATTGTACAAATAGTGTTTATCCAGCTTAAGGATAATCTATCAAAGGACTCAGAGTTGAATATTCTCTTTCCCCAGGAGCATCAATACTAGATGTAAAGGTGAAGACTTAGTGTGTGGATCTTACAGTGGCCCCATTTTAATATAACTAGATTCTGAACTAAATAGAAAATCTTGTTTAGGCATTTCACTGTGTTATATTTTTGGTGGATGTTCTTATAATTCTGGCATCAAAATTTACAACTATCGTTGCTGCAGTAGCCTGAAGTTATTTTGTTTAAATAACTATGAAGAAAACTAAAAATTCATGTGGGTGCCAATGTTTAGTATAATCTGAAAGTGTGGAAAAGCCTTTCCCAAACTTAAAACAATGCCATTTAGGTAAAAATGGGATGACAAGTCCCTGTAAAGAGATAACTGTGAACTTTTTATTCATTTCAAGAACTCCCATATAGGTTAAAGTCCATACTTTATACTGTTGCCCTTCTTAGTCTTATTTGGGGTGCCTAGAAAGGGAATGATTCATAAACAAATAAAAGTTACTATTAATATTAAAAATAACCAATTTTAATAAGCTCATTACATTTAAAATAATTAGAGTAATTTGGCCAGTTGAGTCAACCTTTTTTAAGAATCACATTTTCATATTCCGTATTGGGTTTCTTTTCATTTGTTTGTTTCTTTTGTTTTGGTTTTTTTTTTTTTGTTTTTTTGTTTTGAGCAACCAACATACAGTTTTAGTACCATTAATTATCCTAGCAGAGATCCTTATTTTGGTAATTCAACCAGTCCTATTGACTGCCAATAAATCTTAGCAGAATTATTGCTATACAGTGTTTGCATTACATGTCACTATATCACCACAGGCCAGTGTCATCCCTAAGCCATTCATCATAAAGCAATCAAGAGTAAGCCACACTATGATGAGGTCTACTGCAAGCCTCCTCGTTTTTAGTTGCTGAACATCACCTTCCCCAATTTTTCAGTCATTTGATTCATGAAGATTAGTCTTTCATACATGGTGCAGTTACACCCCTAAGGTGTGAGTATATTTTACTTCCAAGTTTGACAAGAGATTACACCTGACGCTTTACAGATTTTATTTTCTCAAAAAAAAGTAGTGTCCCATCTCCAAACCCTGCAAATTGATTTTGCACTTGCATGCAGAGAGCAATATCTCTCAGTGGATGCTTTTAAAAGCTAGGGCACTTCACTACAGAAATATCAATTTCATTAATACTTCGTTTTGATCAGGTGCTGTCCACACTGGTAAAAGAGTTAATTAATTTATATGTATGAAATCATATGGGTGAAGAGTAAAAATAGCATGAGACACATTGGCAGAGGGGTTACCTAGAACACTTAGAAATAAACACTGATGTAATGTACTGAACTATTTCCCAGAGTCCAGTGCAACACTGTAAAGCCCAAGGCTGCCTCAATAAACTGTTAAAACATCTTTCGGCCTGCATAGAAGATGAGCAGTTAATCTCTTCTCAGATACTTAAAAAGTTCATCTCCTGAATCTCTGAAAGAGATATGGAGATATTTCATTCTAAACATCTTTATTTCATTCTAAACTTAAGATGTTTAGAATGAAATAGATTATGACCATAATTAGAGGATGAATACTCAT